TGTTGCTTCTTCGTACCTTGACAAGCCCTTCAACCACGTTCCGCTACACTCTTCCAAGTACGAAACACAACCTGGGCACAAGTTGCTTCGTCTTCGCACCTCATCATTGTCCATCCAATCTATGCTCCTATTATACGTCGCATCAATCACCTACAGCATGCGCAACTGCGAATATGACCTCCTTGGGTTCGATGTGCAGGTCACATTTCCAATTTACAAACGTTGCCAGCGCTTAATGTCGACCTAGCGCTTGCAAGGAGGCGAGAGATGTCTACTTGCTGCCGTTAGAGGCCGCAACTGCTGACAATTATCTGCTCTCTCAAAGTCTGAAGGCTCGCAATGATTCGCATTGTTACGTAGATGGACTGTTTATTCAGATGCGTCTTGTATACTCAGAAATTATTTGAACCTCTTCCCATTCATGGTCCTCCGCCTTGAAGGGCCAAAGGAGCCGACCCTTCTCGTCATCATATGCTTTCCTATAACACAAATTCTCCATCATGGCCACGATCAGCACCCATCAATTCCACGTATCAAGTTGCCTTTAAAAATCATGCGCAAGTTTCAACGTCCAGCTCAACCAATCTATTAATGGTACTTTCTCGCTTTGCGTTCAATGCCCCCCCTTCTTCACACCGGCTGCACCGTTTCCAACATCTTCTCAGGGGAAGATAAGTGCATAGGATCACAGTATATGGTTATTTGGCTGGCAAGGTCTATCAATAATAGTGACCAGTAAGCTCTTCATTGACGTACCTTGATATTAGCACCACTTTCGTGCCTCATGTGACGAATTGTTTCTAGCCATACACTGCAGCAAATGATTGACAGCCTGAACCCTTCACACGCATCGGAGCGACAGGTACACCATCACCTTTGAAGACTCCGAGCCTGCGTTCAGCGGTAGTGGATATACATTTCTATAGATATGTTGTGAGAATCATTTTCATTCATTCATGTTTCAAGCCTGTCCTGCCATTCGGTTTCCCTGTCCGTTTCACGGTGAGTTATCATCCTGAGTCGATCTGGCTCGATCTCAAAGGTTCTCGGTGTCGGCTGATCCGTTATGTCATATGTTGTTGAAAGGCTGAAGGTCAGCGACACACCAGGTCCGTGCGCCGACCATGGCGTATGATGTCACCAGCGGCCGTCGAAGCGTTCGGCCGCAGCGGCACGCATGGCAAACAAAGATCGGGTTCAGCTTCCATCAATCAGCATCCTTGTTTGACATGTGAGTGCAACGCCCTTCTCGTATCGCATAGGCAGTAGCAACAAGCAGGCCATCGCATTTCCCCAATGTATCTAGTCCCACGAATTCACGACAGACTCTGTCCAGAAAGTGATTCGCACCTGATCGCGCTGCTTCCGTCACTCTGTTCTCTGGAGGTCTTGTGCTGCCAGCCTAAAAGCGAGCCATAGAGACATTTGAGCGCGCCCCCTTCGCCGATGTGCTCGCCATATCCGCGATCTCCCAAGTGTTTCGAGGTGCTGTCTTCTAGCAGATATTGGAAGGCATCTACGATGAACTTGTCGAGGGTTCCGACCCACGGGGATGTTGCGTCTCTCTGACATATATGCTTCGTGCTGATGAAGTTGTCCCCAGGAGTTTATGAAATCTCTGCCTAGCCATGCTCTGCGACGGCAAAAAGTACAGTGCTCTACGACCGTAATAAGCAATATTTGGTTGAAGGTTCGACCAACGATGGAATCGTTGTTCGACTCCGATGCTTGCAACTCTTGCGCCGAACATGCCGAGGTCATTCGTCCAACTAATTGAATCAAGCCATCTCGTACGAACATGTTCGTGCGCGCCAGCAGATGCGATTGCAGGTCATTAACTGGATCTTCGCCAAACTTGTGCAATTCTCTGTGGGCCCTTCAAGAGCTCGTTGTCCCGTCTCAGCGAGCGCGTTGGAACCCGTCAAGATTCTGGAGAGGTCTGGCTGGCACCGTCCGTGCGTTTGTTCATGCTCTTGCTGCTGCTTCATTAGCTTTAATAGCAATATTTGCCCGTTCATCAGCATCTCCTCATTCTCGATGAGCGTCCCTTGGCACCTTGCTGCTCGATAAAGCTGATCAGTGAGACTTCAACAGAGCAGAGTTGTGCGGCTTCTCGTCGCCAAGCCCCTGTACGATTTCTTCAAGATTGCCCGACTTTTCCTTGGCATTGTGACATGTGCAGGTCAATCTGGTAGTACTTTGAGAACTCCTGACTGCGCCATGATTGTAGCCTGTTCGTCGTTCTCATTCCAGCACGCTAAGCGCTCAGCTCGCTTGTCGAGGCAGCGGAAGCGTATTCTTCTTTGTCGATCTGTTGTTGCACTCTTGTACCTTGCATGTTTTCTTTTGGATCGAGTTAAAATCACTGTAGAGCCGCATGGTGGTAAATGGTTGCTCGTCCAGCCCTGGCTATCATGATACGACCCTCGCCCTTTGTCTGACATATGAAAAGGCAGGCAATCAACAACCCCCAGGAAAAGTGTGTATTCAATGAAGATTAAGAAAGATTTGGTACCTCAAATGATGACCTAGATCGAGCTGAAGATCCTGTGCGCCGTTCCCACGTCGTAGAATATGGAAGAACGGGTATATATGATGTACGGTTGAACGAAAGCAGGGTGGACAGCAGTTGAAGAAGACGAAGCAACTTGTGCCCAGGTTGTGTTTCGTACTTGGAAGAGTGTAGCGGAACGTGGTTGAAGGGCTTGTCAAGGTACGAAGAAGCAACA